TGCATTTCAGCAAAGCAAAGTCAGGGGGACTTGAAAGAAGGAAGAGACTAATGTGGATTGAAGCAGACAGAGGCAGCTGCATAGAAATGGGGCTTGAGTTCAGTTTCAAAAGATATTTAAGATCTATAAAACTCGAACTGAGGAAGAAGGACATGTTAGAAGAGGAGAAAACGGGAGCGAATTCAGAGACTAGAACAAGACCAGAGGAAGGGGAATGTACTCCTAATCAGTGTATAAGCACCAAAGAGGACACGTCAGGGAAGAATGGAAAGGATGTGTGGGGTGGTATGTGTTGCTTTGTATTCTGAACCATAAAGCACAATATAAGTGTTGATGTACATATGAAGTGATCACGTAATATGTTGTCTAAACAAGACAATTTAGAAGGTGACAATGACAGCCAATAATAAGGATGTAATATTAGGGTGACAACAGAGTTACATCATAAATAAGAAATGGTTACCACAGCTTACAGGACTTTAACTCAACACCTTGTGCCACTGAGCTATATCCCCATTAGGGCATCCATTTAAAACAAAAGCTGTACTGTGAAGCTAAGGCGTCTTGCTGCCATGTGGATTAATATCTGGGGGCTAATATTGGCAGGAACTGAAAGCAAGTCAGTGACTTCAGAGGACGTGGGACTGTCATAGGAGAGTTTGCACCAAAGCTTCGGTGCTGAACACATGACCCTCAAAACCTTTCCTTCAGTTCTCTGGCAGCAGCATTAGATGCCACAGAATATCTGTGAGCAGATATTTAATGGCATAAAGTTTATTCTCTAATCATTGGTTAGTTAGTTTGGAAATTAGTTAGTTTGGAAAGAAGAAACAATGAAATAATGAATAGTGAAACTAGAGCAGAAAGATCAGTTTTCCAGACTGATTACAGAGAGAAATCCCTGAAATAAAAGCCCACTGAAGATCACTCTTGTTTAGTGACATCTATTTTGTTGTATGTTTCTTCGTAATTAACATTCTTATTCTGTTAGAGTATATGGGCTGAGGACCAGGGGAGCTTCAGCACCAGGGAGCTTCAGTGTTGAGACTGACAGCCAGTTAACTTTGACAAATGCCCTGTTAAGTGAGCTCTGTGATGGAAGCCATGCTGTGATGATGGGGTACACAAAGATCTTCAGCCAAGTATCAGCACCCAGAGGAACTCAGCCCTATACAAACAACCCACATTACACAGCAGACTTTGCACTCAGCAGAGACCTTCCTACATGCACCTCTACACACATACAGCAATCTGAGTCATGGAGCCTAGATAGATAAAGCCTGGAGAGGTAAAGCCTGGCAACATGGTCAGTGAGGAAATGGACTCTGACTGAACTCTTGCCCAAAGCAGATACACATCCTCTCTTCAGTATCCTTGGAATATGGCCATCCAAGTTATCCATGAGCACATCCTTTGAGCCCATTCCTCCAGAGATTTTGTTCTCTTGTTGGACAGTTCTATGTTAAGGTATTTATACTACAGTATTTTTCAGACATAGGTCCGTGGGCCATCTGCACCAGAGTATTTTATGCACTTGTTAAAATCACAGACTTTCAAGTCTAACTGTGTATGTATCTAAGTCAGCATTTAGAGCAAGGAGGGAAACCATAATCTGCACTATTCATGGGTGTCTTGGGTGTTGCTTATGTTCAGAAGAGAGTAAGATCCACCATTTAGACCTGTGATTGGTTCCATCCACCTAAAAACAGACAGCAAGTCACTGCTCTCTTCTTTATAGCAGCTCCTCAAATACTGAACCTTGCTCTATTTTCACTTCTCAGGTGAAGCTATAACTCATGTGTTTAAATTTTTCTTCACAACAAAGCTCCATATCCAAGCCACTTGTGGTATGTTTCTTTGGGTCCTCTGACACTTGTAACTATCTCTCACAAAACAAGACATCCCAGAGGGAACACACACAGTATGAGGCAGGGAGAGAGAGCTAGCAGATTTCCAATGCCTTTAGCACATGCTGCCAATTTTATCAGGCACATAAATTGCTCTTGCCAGCTGATAAGGAGACTACGTCTTTTAGCCTAAGCTGACTGGCATCAGAAGTATGACCATTTTGGAAAGGTTTGGTATTTAAACCACACGTGATGGTGACTCCTCAGAGTTGTTTCCATTTGGCTGGCTCTGCTTCTATCTCCATCTTTAGATTGGCAACTGGTAAGCCTTCTGTAAACTGTCCATTTCCTTCCACTCCTAGTTACTTCTTTTAAATTATTATACCTGTCACTGGGTCAAGATAGCCCTTTCCAACCTTTATTCCATCAGATTCTCAAAAGAGCATTTTCCCATTTGACAGATAAACAGACCAAGCCTTAAGGAACTTATAATAATGAGGAAATACAAGGAGGTGTTTCACGCCTCACTGACTTACTCCCTTGATTAATCAACATCTTTTGAAGCAAAGCTCTTTGACTTTCAGATTTTTTGTTCATTTGTTTTTGTTTTTGTTTTTTATTCTGAGAATCAAACTTGGGACATTGTACTTCCCAAGCAGGTGCGGTGCCATTGAACTATATCACCCAGCCCAATCTTCCAGATATTTTACAAACTAAGTCAAAAAGATCAAGTAGATGGGGGGAAATTTTTTTTTATACCAGGAATTGAACTCAGAACCCTGCACTTGTCAGGCAGGCACTGTACCATTGAGCTATATCCCTGGCCCCAATGTAGGGAAATTATGAGGAAAGCCCAACATTTCCACATTTCCATATTCCAGTTCCCTAATACTTCTGCCTACAACACATTTCACTTTCTCTGTTGTTTCTCTTGGCCTTCAGGCATACTGACCAATTAACAATCAGTGGATAGCAGGGCCATTTAGTGGTACAAGGTACAAGGAGGATACATGTACCCATTTGTTGGAGACCACTACGAAGCGGCTCTGAGCAGGATTTAAATTTTACTAATTAGCTTTCTATGTTTATCTGTGAGTCTGTCCTAGGCCTAGGCCCCTTGCCTGTCGATGGGAACTGATTCATAGTAAGTGAACTTCTATGAATCACTGGTCCTGGCTGAGGCCTGTAGTGGCCTGTGAGGCCAGAGATACCTCAAAAGGCAAATAAGGCCACAGCTGCGGACACTCTGGCTCCAACCCCAGTTAACAAGGTAGAGACTGCAGCTGAAAAGATTACTCCTGCAGTTTCTCTTCTACCATGTCTTCATGATAAGACAGTGCTACTGAATTGACTTGATTCATGACTTGGAGACGTCCTTGAGTGACTCCCAAGGTCCTGTTCAATGCCTACACTTTCCTCAGTCTCTCCACCCTTTGTCCTTGATCCTAATATAAGTGGACTAATCCAGAGAATTCTTTGTCTTTACCCTCAAAGCTTCAAGTTTAATTAAAGGGTTTTAACCCTCCTGGAGCCCTACAAATCATACAATTTCTCACTTTTTATTTAACCTCCACCGTACACTCGTTTGTGAGATTGGGGATCCAGGACAGAACTGAATACCCATTCATGTATTTTTTAAGAGAAGTGACATGTGGCTAGCCCAAGAGTAACAGAAAAAGGCTAAGGGAGGCAGTTAAACGATAAAGCAGAACTCTGTAACAAATTAGTTAGCAGCATGATTAGTGTAAGATATATCTAAAGTAAGACTATCTTTCATTTTGTCCCATTTTACATTATCTGATATCTCTAGACCAGTATTCATCCAATTAACTAACACCCTAATGTTAATTTATTATTTATAAATTTTAATCCAAACAATTGACCTCGTGGATTTAACTTAATCAAATTCCATGCAATTATACTCCAATCAAAATACATATGCATAAAGCCAAAATGTTGATATCTAAATGAACTGAATTTACAAGATCAGAAGAAATGCAAATGATTAATTACAGACCTGAGTTAGAAGCAAAACTAAAACTAATTTAATTGGACTCTCTTTAATCTAGAAGGTACCCAAGGCCCAAAGTTCACAAATTCTTAGTGTCACTGGGTGACAACATTGAGATTCAAATTCAGTTTACCTAACTCCAAATCCAAAGCCTTTCATCTAGGCCCTTGAGTTTTCACTACTTTCAACTTCACTCAAACCCTGGTTTCCAAAGCACCTCCACATTTTCCCAAAGAAAAACTGTATTTATACCCTAAACCTATATTTGTAAAGCTATATAAAATGTCTTAGATCTGGGTCTTTGCCTTTTCAGGCAGTCAGGTACAAGGCCTTGGGGACAAATATTCTTCTCTAAGGCTTGACAAAACTCTATTTATTCCTTATTAATTATTAACAGAAATACAGTTACTTGTAATGCCAGTGTCCAAAACTTTGGTCCAAATTTTTCTTACACAAAATAAACACACCAAGGAATTTTTTAAAGTACTATGTAAACCATGATACCCATTTCCCCACATATGTAAGGACGAAAACAATTTTTCTTTATTCTTTACTATTTTTTTCAGACAAATCCCTTTAAACTGAACAAAAATGTGAAGCTCAATTACCCAACATTATAGGTTTAGTTCCTCTGTCATTTACTGCAGAGCCACCAGGCTTGCTTTACAGAACCTAAAAGAATTTTAAACTTTCAACAGATTGTGGAAGTGAATTTTAATAAGAATACTCTAATTGATATGACTTCTGACTGATTATGCCTATACGCTCCAGAGCACAGTTGGGACTATCTGCTAATCCATATGGACCCCAACAGAGCTCTATCCACCTTTACTTACCAGTCACAACACCACAGGACCACTGCCCCTTCCTCCACAAGGCCTTGTAGCCCCACTACTCCCCCACCAGCGATGCTCTCTCATTCACATTCATCCTCTCCACAACCCCCGAATCAACAACATGGAAGCCATGTTTACTTCATAAATCCTCTGTAAACCTTGAAAGCATCCAGGAAGTTTTCCAGGCCATAGGACAGGCTCTTTCATACCCTTTCTTGGGAAATTCAAGTATGTGACCCTCTGCCCTCAGAGGAAGGCTGCCCCGCCCCCCAGAAAGACAGAGAGGAAGCCTGAGGCCACACTCACTGCAAATCGGACTTGGCAGTTCTCCTCGCCCAGGTAGCAGAGGTCGCCTGAGACGTTGGTCTCCAGCCACAGGTGCTCCCCATTCACCGCGTTTTCCTGCAAGGCAAAGACCCACCCACTTCAGTGCTCTCTTCAGGGATAAGGGGGTACAAGATAGATAGTGACCCCCAAGGAGTTCAGATATTTCTTCCTGAACCCTCAAAGTACCGCTGAACTTGTACCTACTGAATTCTACAAATGGAAAGAATGTTTAGAAAACTTTGAGATGTGACTAAAACAGACATGAGGTCTATGCTGCTTTATCCATAGATGTAGTCATTAGTAAAACATATATTTGACAAATGAAGGAAATAAACATCATAAATAGTTCCAAGGAAAACCTTATTTATCCAGTTCCAACTCTGCAAATTCCATGAAAACTGAGAAAAATTCTATTAAAATTTGCCTTAACTTAGCAAATTAGCTGTAAAAAAAAAAAAAAGAAAAGAAAAAAAAAGAGAATGGTAGAATTAAAGTATTTTAAGTAAGACATTTTTTTATATCAACAATAAGCAAACCATACTTCTAAGGACAGAAGCTTCTTAAAGCTTAGTTTAAACCCCTAGCACTCAAAGCATAATAAATGTCTAATAATTTAAATAATTATTAAGTTTAAAAGGACACACAATTATTCTAAATTTTCTAACAATAATTTACTGCTTCTAAAAATATGCATTGCTGATGGTGAAAGGGCTGCCGTGATGTATTATTCTATGAGCAATAATTCTACTGTCCAATGATGTGCAGTGTGTGACTGTAAAGAGGCAGGAACATGTGCCCTTTAAAATATGATGAAGCGAATTCCATCTTCATTTTTAAAATATACTACCATGGAAAGGATGAATTTACATCACTGACTAGCTTATTTATTTGCTTAAAAAAGTATCTGAGATATGAGGTGAAATATTGTTTTAGACTGACCATAAAGTCTAAGACTTTATAGGAATATTTATCTTGTTTTTATCCTATGCATCAGAAATACATGGATTTGTAGCTACATTTTAATGAAGCATGTTGCAGACTGAATTATGGCTCCCTCAGTATTCATATGTTGAAACCTAACTCCTGGGGACTCCTGCACCTCACCATTGGTGTGCAGAGGAGGGGCTGGGTGGATCTGGGGCGCCTGCATCCGCCTCCCGGTGTGTCTGGAGGACTGTGGATATCTCAGCAAGCAGGGGAGCATCGCAGGTTCCAGAGGCTGCACGGCCTGTGGTAACTGCTCAGCGCATTCTGCCCAAAGGTCAGACTGTTTGGGACCCTCCAGGCTTCTGGGTGAGGCATCTACATCCGCTTCCCCATCCCAGGTGCGCTTGCAGAACTGCGGAGCTTCCAAGAAGCAGTTGGGCGCACAGTGTCCCTGAAGCCCAGCTTATCTGGCACTACGGAGTTCTAAACAGGCAGAAGAGGGCCATTGGTTCTACAGGCCCAGTGGCTTGGGGTAACGGGTGCCAGAGTCTCAGGAGCTGCGAACATAGAAGGGGATTTCCAAAAGACCTTGAGGAAGCTTTCAAATAACACTTGAAACACAGAAATATAGGAAAATGACAAAACAAAAGACCAAATTACAACCTCAAACCTCCAGCCCATCTCAAGAAACCCTAGGAGCAATGTATATAGAAGAAAATATACGCCATTCACCTCAAATATCAGACACAATAGCTACTGAAATTAACGAGCAACTCCAGGAAGCTTTAAAGAAATTCAAACTCGAAATAATCTCCCAGGTAAAAGAAGAAATGATAAAATAAATGAAAGAGATTCTGAATATATCTAAAGAAAACATGGTTAAAAAAATTGGAGGAACTAAACAAAAAGATAGAATCCCTAGATGAGCAATATAAGAAACAAACAGAATACATAATGCAGATGCACAGAGATATACAGAAAATAAAAAATTCCACTGAAAGTTGTAAAAACTGCCTCAATGAAAGTAAAGATAAAATATCAGACCTTGAAGACAGGATTGCAGCTAGTGAACAGGAAAGGAAAGATCTTTTAAAAATAACAAGGAATCAGGAAACAACAACTCAACAACTGCAAGATGATGCAAAGAAAAATAACATAAGAATGATAGGAATTAATGAAAAAGGAGACAACATAAAGGATGTCAAGAGGATATTTAGAGAAGTAATAGCTGAAAATTTCCCAAGCATGAGATCAGAAACCGACATCAGGATCAGTGAAGCATATAGGACTCGAAATAGTCATAACCAAAATAAAACTACACCCAGACATATACTAATCACCATCCCAGAAATCCAACACAAGAATAGATTATTAAAAGCTGTCAGAGAGAAAAGACAGAGCATTTATAAAGGAAAACCTATCAGAATCACAGCAGACTTCTCATCACAAACAATAAAGTCAAGAAGAGCATGGAGTGAAGTATTCCAGATCCTAAAGCAAAATGATTTCCAACCTAGACTGATGTATCCTGAAAAACTATCATTCAAACTTGATGGTAAAATACAATACTTGGATGACAAAGAACAGCTAAAGAACTTCATGAACACCAAACCAACACTGCAAAAAATATTGAAAGACAGTTTAGATACACAAAGGAAAAAACCACTAAGCAAAGCAGATAATTAAACAGAACAGAAAGATAAAGATGCAACAGCAGAGAGATAACATGTCAACCATAAACCAGCATTTAACAGTAATAACCATTAATGTAAATGGTCTCAATGCACCAATCAAAAGAAACAGACTAGCAGAATGGACCAAGAAACAAAATCCAACCATATGCTGTTTACAGGAAACCCATCTAACCCAGAAGGATACTCACAGACTGAAAGTCAAAGGATGGAAAACATGCAGCAGGAATCCAAAAAAAAGCAGGAGTAGCCATTCTGTGTGCAGACAACGTGAACTTTAAACCAACAATGACCATAAAGGACAAAGAAGGTCACTACATACTCCTTAGGGGAAAACTCCAAGAGGAAGAGATAACTATCTTAAATATATATGCACCAAACTCCAGAGCACGCAGTTATATAAAACAACTATTAACAGAAATGAAAACTCAAATTATCACTAACACAATTGTAACAGGAGACCTTAATACGCCATTGACACCAAGGGACAGATCAACCAGTCAGAAAATGAGCAAAGAAATAACAGAACTGAATCACACCTGCGAACAAATGGATTTGATAGACATATACAGAATGTTCCACCCAAAAACATCAGAATACACATTCTTCTCAGTAGTACATGGATCATTCTCTAAAATAGACCATGTATTAGCTCACAAGACATATTTAAACAAATGCAAAAGAGTTGAAATCATCCCTTGCATGTTATCGGATCACAGCGCTCTGAAATTGGAAATTAATGATAAAAGATACTGCAAAAACCCGCAATCACATGGAAACTGAATAACACAATCTTGAGTCATCAGTGGGTCACAGAAGAAATTAAACAATACCTAAAAGAAAATGAAAAAGCAGATACAACTTACTGGAATTTGTGGGATGCAATAAAAGCCGTACTCAGAGGAAAATTTATTGCACTGAGTTCCCACATCAGGAAATCAGAATGAATACAAATAAATAACTTGATGCTACACCTCAAAAAGCTAGAAAAAGAACAGCAAGTCAAGCCCAAAGCCAAAAGAAGGGAGGAAATTATAAAAATCAGAGCAGAAATAAATGCAATAGAGACTAAGAAAAACAATCCAAAGCATCAACGAATCAAAGAGTTGGTTCTTTGAAAGAATAAATAAAATCGATAAGCCCCTAGCCAACTTTATTTAAAAAAGGGAAGAAAAACCTCAAATTCATGCAATAAGAAATGAAAAAGGTGAAATCAGTACAGACCCAATAGAAATACAGAAGATCATCAACACCTATTTCAAAAACCTCTACTCTCAAAGGTTTGATAACACAGAAGAAATAGACAGATTCTTAGAAACATATGAAGTACCAAAGCTAGAAAAAGAGGATGTAAAACTGTTGAATAACCCAATCTCTGTTAATGAAACTGAAAATGTAATTAAGTCCTTACCTACAAAGACAAGCGTAGGCCCAGATGGATTAACTGCAGAATTCTACAAGAAATACAAAGACCTAATGCCAACACTCCTCAAACTATTCAATGAAATTGAAAGGGAAACAATCCTTCCCAAGTCATTCCTGGAAGTAAATATTACTCTAGTACCAAAACCTGAGAAAGACCCAACTAAAAAAGAGAACTATAGACCGATCTCCCTAATGAACACAGATGCAAAAATCCTCAATAAAATATTGGCAAATAGGATCCAGCAAATCATCAAGAAGATTATACATCATGACCAAGTGGGATTCATCCCAGGAATGCAAGGATGGTTCAACATACGTAAATCAATAAATGTAATCCACCATATCAATATAGCAAAAAATAAGAATCACATGATCATTTCTATAGATGCAGAAAAAGCCTGCGATAAGGTCCAACATTCATTCATAATAAGAACTTTACAGAAAATTGGAATAGATGGTCTTTACCTCAATATAATAAAGGCCATTTATGACAAACCAATAGCCAGCATCATACTAAATGGCCAAAAATTGAAAGCCTTTACTTTAAAATCAGGCACAAAACAAAGATGTCCTTTATCACCACTCCTATTTAATATAGTACTGGAAGTACTAGCCAGAGCAATTAGGCAAGAGAGAGAAATAAAAGGAGTAATGATAGGAAAAAAAGAAGTTAAATTATCATTGCTTGCAGATGACATGATACTCTACATAGATGACCCCCTAAACTCCATTGAAAGACTCTTAGATACAATAAATAAATTCAGAAATGTAGCTGGATACAAAATCAATACTCAGAAATCAATAGCATTCCTATACACGAACAACAAAATCACAGAGAGGAAAATAAGAGAAACCACACTCTTCACATTAGCAACCCAAAAAATGAAATATTTAGAAATTACTCTTACGAAAGAAGTGAAAGGTCTATACAAGGAAAATTATAATACACTGAAAAAAGAAATTGAAGATGATCTCAGAAAATGGAAAAACATCCATGCTCAAGTATAGGAAGAACAAACATTGTGAAAATGG